ATTTAAACATCAATGTAAGTTTTTAATATTTTTTTTATTATTATTAGAAAAATATTCAGCCGTCCCGGGACTTAATTGACACCCTGTATATACAAGATATAATTAAAATAAGATAACAAACTTTAGAGGAGCGAGAATATTACATAATAATAAATATTACTTTTTATTTTTTATTAATAATATATATTTTATATCAGTAACAGTGGGTTTGACGGACATATGTTGATGTCAAATTTTTTTTCATCTTTGGTCTCGCTCCTCAAAGTTTGTTATCTTATTTTAGTTCATCCTGTACATCCTGTATATAATTATTGTTCATTACAGTATTTGTTTTTGATTATGTGCAACATTATTTTTATTTTATTTTGCAAGACTATTATTACATATTACTACATATTATTATATATAATTTATAATATATTGCAATTATATTATAATATAACTTAAAGAATAAATTGTTATAATCAAATTTTTAAATGCCTTCCACCTATTTTAAATCTTTCTACTTTCAATTTAAGCGGTTATTCATTCGCGCAAGCGCATTGACCGATTTCGTACAGACAAGGATAGATAGATGTAGGGGACACTTTTGTTATGTGTATTTAGATAGGCTATGCCCCTTCCAGTATATATGTTCTAAGTATGCATAGCATAAGACCGTCTCGACCATTGAGTAAAAAGAAACAGAAGGGAGCATATACTAGCCAGGACTAGGTAAATCCGCGGACGGATGTACGTCATGGCAGCCATCTTGAGCGACCACTTTTTGAAAGTGAGAGGGAATGCTCGAGCATAGCGGCAAGCGGCATACCGTACGCCGTACGCATTAATATGCAGTGTATAGTCTTTTATGCAACAGTGTATGAAAATAAACGATCAAAATGGTATACTGTAGAGCTTGTGGCATAACAGCAGCAGCTCGAAATCATGAAATAACGTTTCATCGGTTAGTATTATCAACAATAATGAGATTTTTATTTTGGAGATTATAATCATATGTATAGTATTGTGAAATTGTAGATTCACAATAATTACTAAATAATTTTCACTTACAAACAGGTTTCCGAAAAATCCGGATCAAAGAAATGCATGGATAAATTTTTGTAAGGACGAAGGATTTAATATAAATTTAGATTTTAGATTTTAACATTGCTCTTATGGAAATACTGCACGAGTGCAATCCCAATGAAAAACGCCATTAAAATTTGGTATTATTGTTGCATATTATAGTTATTTTCTTTTAATTGTACATTATTTCCTAATTAAACATAACAAGTCATTCAATATTGGCGCCCTTGAGCGGCCATCTTGAGCGACCACTTTATATAGTCACTTCCGTCCGCACTTTTACGACCAAACGCTTCCTCCTGTTTCTTTTTACTCAATGGCTGCAACTCAAACTTGAGGTAGCTGATGCGTGTATTATGCGCTGCAGATGGTGGGGATCTAGGGAATTCTAAGCGCTGTTCATGCGCGCATTGAGTGAAACGGAACGTTTTCTATGTAATTCGTGCGCATAATGTGCGAAACGGAACGCAACCTATGTCTATAGTCTATGCCCTCATGTCGCGCATGATGCAGGATGCTCAATCTTGCATCACTGGACTGCACTCTTATGCACTCTTACGCAGTACTGCAAGCAGAGCATCCAGAGCAGGACCTCCAAAGTAGTGGTGGGCGATGTTAAAAAAAAGCATCGATTTGGAAATAATCGATATAAAATAAAATCGATGTTTCAAAATCGATATTTTGCCAAATAAATCGATTTTAATCGATTCTTTTTTATCGGGACAATGCGCGCCTAATTTAAATAGCTGCAACTAAAAGGAGAAAAAAAACCGACAAAAAATTAATAAAAAATTAAGTAAAGTATTATTTTGCTTTTATTAATATCCCTATTTTTTATTATTTTACTTTTTATTTATGTAGATACAAAATTAGAGCATGGAATATTGATGTTCCTGGTAATGGTTTGAATGCTGTATGATTTATAATTTTATCTTGTTTCTCTTATGATTCCAGAGTTG